GTTTTGTCAAAAATAAAGCAAAATTAAAGAAATATTTTGTACAGGAAGTGAAAAGTTCCTCCTTGTCTGTTGGTCTAGTAATTACAGACTCATTCCGAGTCCTCACAGGCCCCGAGGCCTAGTTACATCTCTTCCCTAGTTATATCTTCCTAAGTGCTGGTTGCCATGGAGATGGAATGTGATCTCCAGCACCAGAAATAAAGGCTTTATCTGCCGCTAGGCCTCAGCCAATAATTCTTTCATACTCAGGAGGCTTCAAACAATAGCGCTGCCCCACTAAACAGCATTTGGGCTGACAAAGACAATAGCCAGCTTTTCTTATGTGATTTAATTATGGCAGGCCTTTCACTGCTTGATTTTCACTTGTAATCTATAGGCATCTCTAGTGCAAATCGGGTATTGTAAGCAACACATACGGGGCTTATGTATGAGTGCCTTAAAAAAAATAAAAAATAAACTGTTGCCTATAACAATCAATCTGCATTTAAATGTCATTTCTGCAGTGCCGAGGGCTCTAACTGGTTGCTATGAGCAACAAGAAATGTCCTTATTAGCATTAGTGCAATGCTACCCATAAACATTACCGCCATAAAGGATCGATCAATGACTGGATTGTGTCACAAAAAACAACCGAAGCAACAAAGAAGAATTCAGTTTGATCAAATTCACTTCTATTTCTTTTCCATGTTGAAAAAATTGATAGTTTAATGCCCTATAAAGATTCTTTTATCAACATGATTCTTATATCGAGTGATTTTTAGGATTATGTGTATGGCCAGTGTAAGGTCTGACACAAAGACGCTCAAGCAAGCTGGAAGATGTATGTAACCAATGATTCATTTTTTTATTTTTTTTGCTAATATTCCCCCTTTTTCTCAGCATTTTACAGATTTTTCCTGAATGAGCCCAAAGTAGACTTGGCGCCAAAAGGTTTTTGTTAGTTCTGTATATAGTAAGTGAGGGTTATAACACTTGCCCTCCATGTCTCATCGGGCAGTTTTGCCTTTACTTCTTGTCTGCTAGCCACAATAGGAAGTGAGAGGAAATCCCAACACAGAAAGGGAAATGCCTGGTGGTTCCCATTAAAAGATTTCCCAGCTATTCCTCTTCTGGTAACCACCCAACATTTAAGGTTTTCTTTCTATTTTAGTGATAATGGTCACCAGGACAAATAGGAGGGGTGAATCTCCGTAATTGGGACACAGATGGCAATAAAAGCCCAATAGATTCAGTGGTATCACTAGGGGGGTGCAGCCCACACCCATGTGACACCATTGGAGGGGTGACACCAAAATGACTGACAGTCATTTTGGTCTCACCCTCTCAGACAAGTCGGGCAGTCGGTCATGGACCGAGAGCCTGGCAATTGCTTGAGAGAGGATGGGAACGTCCCCTCCTCTCTCTGACGGCGTCCATCACCAAGATGGCTGCCGGCAGGTAACAGCGAGTTACGTCATCACAAGCGTGCGCAATGACATTACGGGGGGATGGCTCCGGGTGTCACCCTGCCTTGGGATGCCCCTGAATAGGGGGTCTGATCCCTCTCCACCCCATCCAAAACGAAACAAAAAAAACCCATTCGTACTAGAATTTTACACAAGTTTAGCGTTGTGGTGCTTTGCGTTAGGCAGCCCATTTAAAATTAATGGGCTATGACAACCTCAATGTCCCAAAGTGCCATTGAATATGAATGGTAGTGCATGCGTTGTGGACAGTATGCCACCACGCCTTGCGGTAACACGCGTGTTTAATTGTGGGCCCTCCCAGTACTTTAACTTGAACTACTATCTATGTCGGTGCTATCATTATTCTCTATGATGTTTATTTTATTGCACGCGTCGCATATCCAGCATTGCACATATCAGAATTTTATATGCCGGGCACTCAGTTGCCCGCCTGCGCCGACGGCTGTAGACGGCCTTGACTATGTAACCTAAACTCACCAGTTGCCAAGGCAATGCCAAGCGCAGCCGCTGGGATTTTTTTTCTCGATTAAAAAAAAATAAAAACCGCCAATCCTATTGTGTCATGGAGACCGCGATAAATCTATTTTCAAGAGTTCCATAATGAATCCGCTTATGTGTAATTAATTAAACTTCAAAGGTATAAAAGGGGCCGATCATGAAACGGTATCACCGTCATTAATCATGTCATTAGGGCCCGCTCACACTCAGTGGCAGGCGTACGCTTTACCGCCATTTCAAGTTGAAATCCTATTTGCTTCTATGTGCCGAGATTGTAAAAATGTGGACGCAAAGCGTTTTTCCTGCATGTAGGCGGATGCATCGAAATGAGCGTCAGATGCATCGTGCCGCTTTTGTGTGTTTATAAATAATGGAAAATCTCTCGCATTGCATTATAAATGAACAAAAGAAAAACGTGCAAACGTGAACTCAAAGAGGTGTTCAAAACACACCAAAAAACTACAAAAATACATGTTGTAATATTAGAAAAAAGCGCATTACTGCGTGCTTAGGCTCCGTTTATTAAAGTTTATTTACACCCAAAACTTTTTTTTTTTTTTAGTTTTGGATACGACAGGAAAAGATTAGAACCCTTGTCAGGTTTTTATTTAGTTTTCTAGGGCTCAGTTAGAGAGATTTACCTTCACTTCCTGTTATGGGGACAACCGTTTACCAGACAGGAAGTGAAGGAAAACCTGCGCCAGGGAAACAGACAATAAAAAGCTGACATGGTTTCTTACCTTCCTCTACTTAGGGTAGGAAATCAGTCTCCATACCTGCAGCTCAGCACCGATAACTACCTGCGCTGACCTTTGGGTTGCCACCTTTCCTTCAAGTGAAACCCGCACAGTTAGTGCCGCACGCAACAATTTGGGAGGGGGGTTAGAATATAGAGGAAAGAGCGAGGAGAGGCAGCCGGGGGAAGGGAGTAAGGAGACCGGCCATAGAGGACTACAAATCCCAGCAACACATTACACAGCAATACAAAATAATATGAAGCTACATACTCTGTGTTGCTCTGGGTTGGTGCCCTGATGTCTCCAGGTGGCCTGTGCGGGCTCTCAGGTGGGCAGTGCGGACACTCGGGTGGGCTGAGCGGACACTCGGGTGGGCTGAGCGGACACTCGGGTGGGCTGTGTGGGCGGTGCCACACTGAGGTGGGCTGTGCGGACACTCAGGTGGGCAGGTGCGGACACTCAGGTGGGCAGGTGCGGACACTCAGGTGGGCAGACTGCCCGCAGCTCAGAGGAAGATCCGGGTTTTCAGGCAGATGCGGTTGCCCCGCGATTGTGGTTGCCGAGGACCTAAGCAGCCGCATCTGTCAGAAAATTGAGCTTTTTGTGTCCGGATGCCCGCCGGTTGGAGACAAGACTCCAAAACCGGACTGTCCGGGTGAAAACCGGACGGGTGGCAGCTGATATGTCAAAAAAATGCAAAATCTATTTTAAAAACCCAAACACGCTATATGTGATGCTGCTCTGGTGCCGGCGAAACCTCTGCCATTCGTTTACTGCTTTCGGGCTGGCCCGGGGAGCTAACACTCTAAATCAGTTGCTGGTCACTTGCCTTGAAGTATTTGTTGAGGATTTCGCTGTAGTTGCTGCCCTTGGAGAACCAGCCGTCTGGGATGATCTCGGTCTCCAGCCATTGGATGATGCGTCGGCGCAGCTCATCGCGATCGGCCTGGTAACAAACAACTGCGCCGAGGAAGAGAGATAAAGTTGTTATCATAGGCGTTCCCGCGACAAGCGGGCGGCAGTTATTTTATCTGGTTGTAATCGTAGAATTCTGGTTGTTAGGAATTATAAGATGGTTACCTGGGGTGGCGGCCGGGACCTCGGATGTCTTCTCTGAAAGAAATAGAAACATGAAATATTAATAAGACATTTATAGGCAGAGGGAGGAGCTTATCTCTCTCAGTCTGCTGCTTCTCCTTCACCGTCCAATCACAGGCTGGGGGAGGGACAAGACCTGTAAATGTTACTGAACTGCAGCAGAGAAAAAAAAATCAGGTCTCCTCCCCTGCCACACAGGGCTGTGCTGGTGCAGCTGTGTAAATCTCAGGACAGGAGGGGACGGAAACAGAAATATGTAGTTTAGCTGGTGTTTAGCATGAAACCCTCCCCTGTGGTACCTTTGCAGTGACCGTCATGGTCCACCTGGATCTTGGAGCCGGTCAGGCAGGCGTCTCGGTGGAGCTCGCAGTGGTTCAGGTAGGTTTTGCCGTTGCTGCCGCACACAGGTCTCTTGTGAGATTTACATTTCTGGAGGAGGGGGGAGGAGAAGAAAGTGAAAACCTGCCGCCATAGAGGGACATCCACCAAATTCACAACCCCCAACCGGGAACAACGAGCGACCAATGAGCAGCCTTTACAGGAGAACTTAACCCGCTACAAAATAGTATTAAAACTCCATAAAAAATAAACACTTTTGAAATAAGGGACCAGCTATAGATTTCCTAAAATTCCAATTTCTCTTCCTTAAAGCCATTGTAACATTTTACAGACCATTCACAAAATGATCTCATCCCCCGCTCCTGTAACTGGCTCACTACTTCTCACAGAGGTCTGCACAGAGCCCCTTTCCAACTTACAGCCATCCCCAGCAACTGCACACTGAGCTTTTTTTATTTTATCTCTGGCGCTCCCAGGAAAGTCTTCCTCACTACACTGATTGCGTCATTATGCATTATGGTGCACTCAATTTGAAGGATTTCAGCAATTGT